TAAGCCCATGATACTCTTGGGAAGGAAACAAATCTATTTGTGTGACAAAAATTATTTCCCCCCCTAAACAGATGGAAGAGAATATCCACTTGCTTGGCCTCTTGCATACAAGCTGACAGTAATTATTGTCAAGCAACAATTAGCCCTTTCTTTCTTCTTCTGTTGTCCCTTTCCTCATGTATCCTATTCACTTACCTCTCTACCCTCTTGCCAGTCCACTCCCTTTTCTGTTCAGCCTGTACTTTAGACAAGGGGCCCCAAGCAAGAATCACATGGGAAATTAAAAACACAGATTCCAGGCCCAAACTTACCAAAACAGAAAGATTTGGAAACCCTTCTTAAATCAATAAGCATTCAAGGCACAAAAGATTTTACGATTCAAATGTTAACCTCATTTTTCAGATACAGAAACTGCAGCTCAAAGGGCTTAAATGTTTTTCTCATGGTCAAAAATATACTAGCGCAGCTTTATTTTTTGGAAGAAACAAACCATTTACTTTTTACCTTCTAATACAAGTGAATATGTATGTATTTGGATACATATACATAAATGTGAAACAAAACTGTCTAGTGTTGAATAGCTGCTTGAACAAAAATGATACAGACTGATTGGATTAACCAACTGATTCAATCATTTTGAAGTACAAACAAAAGTGGGTGTATCTGTACACTTTATTTTGTTTTTGTTGTTAATCCTCACCCGAGGATATTTTTCCATTGATTTTTGGGGAGAGTAGAAGAGAGAGGGAAAGATGAGGCAAGCAACAAGAAACAGGCTCTGTGACTATTTCTTGATACTTGTCTCTGTCTTTCCCTCTCTCTTCGATTGGATGCCTCCTGCACGAGCCACGCACGACCCACGTGCCTTTGACCAGAATCAAACCTGAGACCCTTTGGTTCGCAGGCTCACCCTCTATCCACTGAGCCAAACCGGCTAGGGCGGTGTATCTGTACACATTACACAGGGTGAGATACTCAAGCACATACTTAAAAAAGAACCTTCCTCAGCATTATACCATTTAATAGTAAAAATACATGCACTCTGATGCAATTCCTACTCCATAAACAGACTAAACAGCCCTTGGATTACTGCTAAAATATTTGCTTAAAAGAAATAAAGGGAGCCGTGGCCAGTTGCTCAATGGTTAGAACATCATCCAGCAGACCAAAGGTTCATGGGTTCGATTCCAAGTCAGGGGCACATACTTCAGTTACAGGTTGCAGGTTCCCCAGCCCCAAATCAATGTATCTCTCTCACATTGATATTTCTCTCTCTCTCTCTCCCCGTCTCTTCTTCCACACTCTCTAGAAATCAATGGAAAAATATCCTCGGGTGAAGCTTAAAAAAAAAAGGAAAGAAATACAGGGTGAGGCAAAAGTAGGTTTATAGTTGTTTGTATGAAAAATAATACAATAATTAGTAAATAATAATACAAGAATAAACTTTCGCATACTCACAACTGTAAATCTACTTTTGCCCCACCATGTATATCACATAGAAAATTGCATGTTTGCTAAATTTATATCAAAGTAACATTAAAACCTATTCACTGTTAAGAGCTTCATAAATTTAATTACTGTTTTGAAAAGCCTAGTTAAGGGTTAAGAATATTGCCTTGTAAGGTCTTGAATATAGATGTAATTGATATGACAACCCAGAAAGAGTTCCCAGCTCCATTTCAGTTGGCCATGATTATAATTTAGATGCAATCCTCTGTTAAACTGTCTTTAGTGAACTCCATTAACTATTGTTACTTTTTTTTTATTGATTTTTAGAGTAAGATAGGGAGGGAGGGACGGAGGGAGGGACGGAGGAGGGAGGGAGGGAGGGAGGGAGGGAGATCAATTTCTTGTTCCATTTATTTATTGGAACATTCATTGGTTAATTCTTATATGTACCCTGACATAGGATTGAACCTGCAACCTTGGCATATCAGGCCGATGCACCAACCAAATGAGTTACCCGGCAGGGCAACCACTATTATTCTTAAATGGGGAGACACTGGTCACTCAGAAAAGATTTCTTGCAAAATATATAAATAAATGTAACTATATATTCTTTCATATATGTAATGTTGCTAAATCAGACCATCAGTTATGAGCTGCTATATTTCACTACTATGTCAAATTTATTAAAAATTTAAAAAGAAAATTTCTGAGAGATTCAGCTGTTTTCATTAGTTGGCTTTAAAATGTCTAATACAATGGGAGACAATATCTTATGATAAATAAATGGAGTCAATATGGAAAAATAAACCATACAGTGAACAATATTACAGAGCACTTGAGTGGTCATCAGAATGAATTATATATATACTAGAGGCCTGATGCACGAAATCATGCAAGAGTAGGCCTTCCTTCCCCTGGCTGCCGGCACCGGCTTCCTTCTGGCACCCAGGATCCAGGTTTCCTGCCGCTGCCAGCAGGCACCCAGGACCCAGGCTTTCCTCACAGCCCTGGCTTCATCTGGAAGGTCGTCCAGAAGGATGTCCAGTCTAATTAGCATATTACACTTTTATTATTATAGATGTGTGTGTGTGTGTATATATATGTATATGTATATATATATATATATATATATATGTATATACATACATATTTTTTAAAGAAAGATCTTGGTATTAGCAGTTATATTAACTATCCCAATAATGGCACTACTTTTCAGCAGCACAAAAATATCGAGAAATTATTCAGATTACAAGACAGAGCTTTTATCCTATGTTTTTGCACAAATAAACCTAACAGATATAATTACTTAAAATCAGACAACATTCACAGTGTTGAACACAAAAGGAGTTGTTACCCAAATCTTTTAATTCTCCTACTGACCACTAACAGAAAAAGATTGCATTAAGTCAGCAAAATAGCACACATAAACTAATTACTAAAATACAAAAAAAAAAAAATTTGTTTTGCTGATCTGACAAAAAAAATAAGTATAATTTTGATTCATTCACACCAGACAGTTATTGTTGTGTTGGCTACTGTTATTTTTAAATCTGACAATCGAAGGGAAAAGAGATCAGAGCCCCTGACTAAATAGTCTGGAATTGCATGTTTTAAAAATTCTTGCGGCACACCAGTGTGCCTCTTGCAGCACATGGGTTGAAAATGACTGCATTAAATGTCTATTTTTAACTTTTTGGTTAACCATGGCCAATAATGTACCAGGGGGTAATTTATAGTTTTTCACCTCTTTTCTCTCCAAGGAGTTTCAAGCTAAATTTTAAAGTTTTACATTGAAGTATACAACTGCAATTTTCAAAAATATCTTCCTCCTGGAGGAGTGATATTCCAGTTTTTGGTACAATCCTGATCAGAGTTCAATTGAACTCTGAAAAGAGTCAGATTTTAAGAGAAAACCAAAAAGAATCAAGGCAGCCCAAAGGTCCCAGCTGTCCAGTTTTGCTTTCTAATGAGGGGTGAGCTAAATGCAATGAATACTTTACTTTCTGTAACTCAACTTTTCATTGACATTGGCATTTGTAGAGTAGCTCAAACTCCAGACTCTAGGACTCATAGCATCTCACTTTATTGGCCCAAGCAAAGGTAAAAAGCAAATCAAGTCAGACAATGGGATAATCACAGAGTTTCCTCTTCAAATGCCCAGTTAGATGAGGTCACTCAATTAGACTGTGTTTGCAAGGCCCCTCAAATTTACACACCCTCACCCAACGTTTTGTGGCTTGAGCACTGTATTTGAGAACTTTTTCCCAATTTCACTAAGTAAACTTGTAAATGCCCAATTGAACTGTGAGCTCCTGGTAAGATTGTTGATGTTTTGTCTCGTGATGTTGCTTGAAAAAAACTAAAGAATGAAGCACAGATTTACTAATGTGTATTCCTTATCCCTCTCCTCACAGAAGAAAAACTAAAAATTTTTAATATGGGAGTTCAATCAAAACACACTGGTTAACGCCATTCTCAGAAACTCAAACACACAAAACCACTAAGTTCCTGTTTCCTTCTTTTTGGGAGGAAGGTTTAAGGGGGGGGGGGGGGGACAGTTTAAATAACCCGTTTCCAATCTCTATGACTTTGTTTAGGAAAGAGCATGGGATCTGGAGGCAGCCGACCATGTGCCATCGTCTTGGTTGTGGGAGGCAGGTCAATTCCTTCACCCCCGTCTCATCACTAACCCCATTCAGAAGTAGGAAAACTATCAACTCATAGGGTTGGGGAAGTGGCCGAGGAGAGGCCTTCCTGAACTAGACGATGTTTATTTCCTGGTTCACAGAACCATAACCATAACACAATAAGGATGACAGCCACAGGCCACAAAAACCGGTTCATCAGACCAATGTAAATGGCCAGACAGGCCGGCCCTGTGCAAGGCGGTCCTGGCAGCGCTTGTGGGGCAATTACTGCATGGAGAGTGCTGTGCTTCCGAGGTGACAGGTAAACTCCCTGCCCAAATTAACCGGCTGCCCCAGGCCCTGGTCCCTCCCAAGCTGGCGCTCTGCGCCAGGGCGGCCGCGGTCACTCACGAAGTCATAACAGTGACTCAAAGGGCCCTTCGCTCTAAGGTGAGTCACATGGAGGAAGGGCAGAGCCATGGCCCGAGATAAGCCGCCACTCCGGGCACCCATCTCCGGGCACCCACCTCCGACGCGGGGGGGGGGGGGGGGGGGCGGTCCGGGTCCTCGCGGGCCCAAGGTGGAAGGACGTGCGGGTGGGAGGTCAGCAGCTGCAACCCTCACCGGAAACGCCAAGTCCACCAGCGGCGACCCCGGGGTCACCTCACCCAGCGCACTCGCGACGCCAGGAGGGAGGGCCCAGCGCGACCTCGGCCCTCGGAAACGTCGTCTACGAAGCGGGGCGCCCCCGCGCCCGGCCACCTCCCCGCTCACCCCGCTATTGCCGTCCCCACCGGATCTTCCTCAGGCCTGCGCTGGGGACACGGCGGGCCGCGGCTGGCGGAACCCAGCTCCCGAAAAGCAGCGCCGGCCGAAGCCCGCCGAGGACCCGGGGAGAAATCCGGAAGGGTGCGGGCCACTCACCAGCCTCGGCTCCACTTGGCCGGCCGCAGGTCCGTCCGTCCGTCCGTCCGTCAGCAGCAGCCTCCGCGCGTCTGTCAGGAACAGTCTAGCGAGCGGGCGAGCGCGAGGGCGGCCCGACGTGCGCACGCAGCGGGGGCGGGGCCTGCGGAGGACACGCCTCTGCGGCGGGCGCGTGGCTCCTCTCTGGGCACCCAGGTCGGCCCAGGAAGTTGGGTGTTTGTGAATGAACGCGAGCACCAATAAGAGCAGGTGTTTATGAGGCCTCCTCCCGGCCACGCGCTCTTCTTGCCCGATGTCACCACCTCTGCAGGCTCATCTTGCGCTAGGCTCCACCTGTCCTTTCTGTTCCAGCCACACTGGCTTCCAGTCATTTCTTTAACCATGGGGTTGGCTGCAGATTAAATGACTGGCTGGTAATGTCCAGTGTTGGCAAAGGTGTGGGAAGTTTGCAGTTTTTGTTAGAGTTATTGGGTGTCCACAAAAGAAACTCCAAACCTAAAGAAAAGTTTAAAATAGTTTATTAGAGCCAAAGATTAGGTGATGGCGAACCTATGACACGCGTGTCAGAGGTGACACGCGAACTCATTTTTTTGGTTGATTTTTCTTTGTTAAATGGCATTTAAATATATAAAATAAATATCAAAAATATAAGTCTTTGTTTTACTATGGTTGCAAATATCAAAAAATTTCTATATGTGACACGGCACCAGAGTTAAGTTAGCGTTTTTCAAAATGCTGACACGCCGAGCTCAAAAGGTTTGCTATCACTGGTAGGGGTTAGTCCTGGAAGCAAAATTTCAAAGGACAGAGATAATCCTCCAGGGTATAGCAATTATGCACTTTATTTATACACTAGAGGCCCAGTGCACAACATTTGTGCACTGAGGGTGGGGGTGGGGGTCCCTCAGCCTGGCCTGGACATTCTCATAGTCCAGGACCCCTCGGGGGATGTCCACCTGTGGTATAAGCGGGCAGGCAGACATCCCCCAGGGGTCCTTAGCACTGCTGGAGCGGGAGAGGCTCCTGCCACCGCCCCTGCACTTGCCGTGAGCCTGGCTTCTGGCTGAGCAGCACTCCCCCAATGGGAGCTCACTGACCACCAGGGGGCAGCTCCTGCGTTGAGCGTCTGCCCCCTGGTGGTCAGTGCATGTCATAGCTACTGGTTGTTCTGCCATTTGGTTGATTTGCATATTAGGGTTTTATTTTTTTAAAACAGAATATGATTATATTTAATACACAAGTTTGATACAACCAAAAAGTAAAACACCAGAGTGAAATAGTAACAAAAAACATGGTATTTCATTTGCAATGCATGAGAAATGATTAACATCTTTAGTCATAAACAAGCTCTTAAAATCCAGTGACACTATAATAATGCAAGGAAACTGGAAAAATGAAATGAAAAAGTACAAGTGATGATTAAGCAGTGAGCATATATTAGGATTTTATTATATAGGATAGGATTAGAACCAAAGGAGAAGACCTAAGAAAGGTTACATGAATTCCATTGGTGGACGATTAAAGCGTGGGAGAAAGTGAAGCAGGAACATCTCTAGAACTGAGTAAAAAATAAAATGGAGAGATGTCACTTTTACATTAATGGATGCAGGATAGTTAGCTTTAACATAGTTTATAGAAGTTGAAAGAGATGCAGTTGAAAGAGAACAATGAGGAATGTTGGGGTTGTCTTCCTCCCCCCCCCCCCCGCACTGGGATGTTTATCTTTACCCTTCTGGAGAAGAGATCGTTCTCACATTTTAAATATATTATTCTAGATGCACATAAACAATGGACAGGGCTTGTTCAAGGTAGAGATTAATTTATCCTATATACTTAGGACATGACTTCATACCATAACCCACTCAATTAGAAATGTGGGTTTTTGGGTGTTTTTTTTTTTTTAATGTGTTTTTGTTTATTTCAGAGAGAGAGGAAGTAAGAAGAGAAGGGGATAGAAACATCAATGATGAGAAAGAATCATTGATCGGCTGCCTCCTGCACACCCCCCACTGGGGACTGAGCCCGCAACCCAACCTAGGTATGAGCCCTGACCAGGAACCCAACCATGACTTCCTGGTTCGTGCGATGCTCAGCCACTGAGCCACACTGGTCAGGCAAGTTAGGAATGTTCTGATGATCAAAACAACCTGTGTGGTTATTTTCAGTTATTGAACTTGTAAGGCTTGTTTTGGTAGCCTCTTTTTTCTTCACATGGGGAAGGAGGGACAATTTGGCAGGAACTGTTAACATTTAGAATGGGCATTCTCATTGACCCAACAATTACACTTCTGGGTAGCTATTCTAGAAAACATTTGTGTTATTGAACTCAAGGGCTTCACTGTTTAAGATGCTATATTTGAAAATGAGAGGTGGTTGTTGCAAGGAGTGTTATTTACTTGCTGTGCGTAAGGGAGACAGGGAATTTGTCAATGACAAAGAGGTTCTTGCACCCATCCCCCAAGACAGAAATCAGGAGAGGAAGCTAAGCAGATTCAAAATAAGAGGTGACTCAGTTTGGTGCTCCCATGCACAAAAGGTTGCCAGTTTGATTCCCGGTCATGGCACATGCCTGGGTTGTGGGTTTCGGACTCGATCCCTGATGGGGGGCATGCAGGAGGCAGCCCATTGATAGTTCTCTATCATCAATGTGTGTTTTTTTCTTCCTTTCTCTCCCTCTCCCTTCTTCTCTCTCTAAAACCAGTAAAAACATATTAAAAAAATTGGAAGTTTACTGAAATCAAGGTGGAGGGAAAGGAGAAGGGAGGGGGCTTAATGCCACTAATAACAGCATGGCTCCCAAACTGCTGCTGCAGGTCTGGCTTATATAGGGCTAGGTTCCTCACACAGGTGCATTGTAGAGTTCTTTACATTTCAGGTTCCAGCAGCTGGTATACACCTGTGCAGGTGTAGAGCGGAACTCTTTACTTTCCAGGTGCACAGAACAGAGCTCTTTGGGGAATGCCTGAAGAGAAACTTTAAACTTATCCAGAAGAGACTTTAAGAAATAACTGAAGAGTTTTTAAGAGAGGCTCAGCCTGTCTCAGATTCATATCCAATCTCTACCTCCCAGAAGGAAGGCTTAGCCATGGCTTATATAACATGTTGATTTCTTCTTTGCAATTGGCTACTTTCATCAGGTTGAGTTCCTGTCAGCTCATCCTGTTTACTGTATCTACAAAATACTACATCTTAACATTTAGCAAGAAGCCCTGGCCAGGTAGCTCAGTTGATTACAACCTCATCCTGATATGCCAGGTTGTGGGTTTGATCCCGTCAGGGGATATCCTCAGAGCACATACAAGAAGCCACCAAATGGCCTGGCAGGTGTGGCCCAGTTGGTTGAGTGTTGTTCCATACATTAGTAGTTTGCCAGTTCCAATTCCAGTCAGGGTACAAGCCCAGGTTGCAGGGTTCGGTCTCTGGTCCGGGTGCATATGGGAGGCAACCAATGGCAACCTATCGGTGTTTCTTTCTCACATAGATGTTTCTCTTTCTCTCCCCTCCTCTCTCTCTCTAAAAAATCAATAGAGACACGTTTTTTAAAAAGAAGCAACCAATGAATGCATAAATAAGTGGAATAACAAATTGATGTTTCTTTCTAATAACATTTAGGACTGCCCAGATCTTGAGATCTTTGTCCTTTCTAACTCTTGCAAGAACTCAAAAGGGCACAAACAAGGGAGGTCATTGCAACACATACCAGGATACTCCATTTTGGTGAAAACTTTGAAACAACCTTAGGTCCATCAAAAGAGGATGGAGCAGGGATTGACAGGAGCACATTCATTCAATAATTGTGCCCCATTGAAAAGGGCAAACACCACCTGAGGGAGGACATTAAGTAGAAGGGGGGAAAGCAAGTTGTAGGAAAATACAAAAATATGTTTTACTAGAGGCCTGGTGCATGAAATTGTACACTTGGGGGGTGGTCCCTCAGCCCAGCCTGCACCCTCTCCAATCTGGGACCCCTCGGGGGATGTCTGACTGCCGGTTTAGGCCCAATCTCTGCGGGATCAGGCCTAAACCGGCAGTTGGAATCCCCCTCACAATCGGGGACTGCTAGCTCCTAACCACTCACCTGCCTGCCTGATTGCCCCTAACTGCTCCGCTGCCAGTCATCTTGTCACAATGTGGGGGTAGCCATCTTGTGATGTGAGGGTCAATTTGCATATTACCTCTTTATTATATAGGAGGATAGCAGCAGTCACCAACCGGTGGTCTGTGGACCACTGGTGGTCCATAAGGTCCGAAAGGTTGGCAACTACTGTTCTACAGTGTGTTATAAACTTAACCTAAAAAACAAATATCGAACTCTAAATAATATGTATGCTGGAGTGTTTAGGGGAGAAAAGTACTGATGTCTGCAACTAACTTGAAATGTATAAAAAATAAGATAGCTGATAAAGCAAATATAGCAAAATGTTAAGAATTGAAGAATCTATGTGGTAAGTATATGGGTATTCACTATGCAGTTCTTTCAACTTTTCTGTATGTTTACAAATTTTCATAATAAATATTGTGGGAAAATATAGTCAGTATGATCCCTTTTATTTCTTAACTATAAAATGTTATCTTTCTACATGTTCATGTTTAGGTATATAAATGCATTCAAAAGTAGGAAAGGTTTACACACTAGAATGATAGAGAGAGGTCTAGGGTCACTTGTGCTTTATCTGTACTGAGGATTCTAATATCTGGACTCTTCTACAATTTGGTCTCTGACCTTGCTCCAATAACTAGGCCATTTTGCAGTTTAAACTCTGCCTTTGCCTATCAGACAATTTGTATTCTTTGCATTGTCTGTTTTACTAAAAATAATTGTTTTATTGGTGTATTTTGCAGACTCCAAGGGAAACTGAGGCATTGGCCCCTGCCTTGTGACCTGCCCTGCTGACCATATTTTGTGACTCCAACTATTAGACTATCCCATGACTCTACTTGCTGACCATGAGTCAATTGAAACTACCCATTATTCTTATCTCACAGCTCCACTAGCTGACCATTGAGTCAGCAGTCCCCTAAAAATCCAGTTGCCCCCACAATCAGAAAATGAATAAGTTATGGTCTTGTATCCCAACCCTTTGATTAGCAACTCCTTGAAACTCTTCCCTTTAAAAATGTTGCTTTATTTTTCCCACCTTAGAGTGTGT